ATGTACACCATAGGATGTTGGATTATACCAAAAACCCAACAGTGGTATCAGAGCCATGGGTTGTTTTCTATTATATTTGATGCAAATGTATTTTTTTCAAAGTTGAAAAAAAGGAAAAAAAAACATGAAGTTTGTCAAATTTTAAAATAATTACTTGATTTTATGAAAAACTAATTAGTTGTAAAATTTGAGTCACTTTACTACAAGAGTTGAATTAGGTCAATTTATTAAAAGATAGAATGATGTGATTATTTTATTTGTTTTAAAAGTTTGATCTAAATGTTTTTAAGGAGTTACAAATTTTGTCATAAAATTTTGGAGCTCAAAAGTTTTTTTTAAAAGTTATGATCTTAAGAGTTTTGAAACTTCCATAAGTTATGGATGTGAAATGTCTCATTCATTAACTCTTTAGGTTATGAATTCCAAGAGTCTTCAAAGGATAATTGTCAAAGTTTCAAGATTTGTATTAATTTATATGATTAGCTAATTTCTTGAAAATTGTTGATGTGAAGTATCTTACTTATGAGTTTAATCTAGATCATAGAAAAATTATTTTATTATTGTGTTAATTGGAATATTTGATCTTAATGGTTTTTATGAACTCCATAACTTGTCCTCAAGTTATGGAAAACCAAGAGTTTTTACTTTAAATGTGTTATTAATGTCATAGGTTAGAAAACTTGAAGAGTCTTTTCTCCATAAATTGTTTTTTATGACTTCCATAACTTGTCCTCAAGTTATGGATTTTCAAAAGTCAATCCATTAAAGGAACATTAAACTCATATGGTATTAAAATGAAAAGTTTTGAAAAGTTTCAATACTTGTCCTCAAGTTTTGGAATTTGTAAAGTCACCCCCCATGTACACTTTAATTCCAAACCCTAGAATTTTAAAAGGTTAAAATTCAAACTTTATGGACTTCATTAAATTAATTAAAGTGTTTAATTAAAAGAGTTAATAATTCCATAAAGACATGGTTTAAGTTTAATTAAATTAATAGTATAGTTTAATTAATAGATTAAACCACCAAGGATTTTAAGTGTTTAAAATACACCCTTGTACTATTATTATAATTTTAATTATATAGATATGTATAAGATAATGTCAATTTTACCATTAGTAGGCCTCATTCACGAAGCCGGTCTATAAGGGGGGTATAAGGTTACTGCCTATAAAATGGCAGTTTAATGGGTGTCAACTCTCACCCACTGCTTCCTTGACTAGTGGAGGGTCGTTAGCCGAACGGGTAGGATAAAGACTATAACTCTCCCTTCATTAAAAGTATAATGATAAATACTAAGTAACTAAACACTTATAAATTCCCAATCTTAGTTACTTAGGAAAATGTGAAATGGTGCTAACCCATGAAAATTCACTTTTCACCTTTGTTAAGTCGTTAATGGAGCGTGTGTGGTTAACCGACACACTAACATGGGACTGACAATGTGTTAAGTTTATCACAGATTGGTGGAGCGTGTGTGGTTAACCGGCACATCAATTAGGTGATAAAGTTAAGGGTACCAAGTTAATTTGCATGGTTATTCACACCTTGTTTGTGATCCTCGGCATCCCAATCACAAACTTGAGAGGGCACAATCGAGATTCAAACATGCCATTGAAAGTTCAATGTATCTCAACAGATCTAGGACTTTCAAATCCAATTAAAACTTAATTATATTTTGTTTTTCATGGTGGAAATTGGTAAATCGTCATTTACCTACCTTCAACTATTTTATAACTTGGATTACGGCATCCCTCTTCCAGTTATAAATAGGTTGTTGGGTCCTAGCCTTAATATTTCATATTGGGTGTTATATTAAGGACTTTAAATCAACTAAACTTGAATTTCTCCCATTATAGATGTCTAGTTAAGACAACTATGGTCTTCCCAAATCTTTAGGAAAAAGCTTTCCTGATGAAGATGATATCCCACATGGCAATCAAGGTGAAAGATTAATCCCTTTGTTGTACATTAATGGGACTGGAAATCATGCTTCACTTCCTCTACCTCCTCCAATTATTCTCCCTATCCCACAAGTTCACATACTTGAAAAATTCAAGGTCACTCAATCCCTATTGGCAAGCCGGGAGAGTCGGGTGTCGAAGTCTCAAGGTAGCTGGCTGTTGACTTGGTTCTTCAGTCACACCCTGATGACAGATCAAGATATGACCCTTAATGATCTTAACAATTTGCGTGATGCTGCTAAATCAACAATGATTTGGGGAACTGGTAAAGCAAAATTTGATTGTAAGATCAACTTCCGAAACTTCCATGGACATTGACAATGGTAACATTAGAAGTCCAAAAAAACTTTCTCTTCCCAATGGAAAGGGAACGGCCATGGTCAAGTCATTTGACCTAATGGTAAAGAGAAAGGATAAGTCTGAGATAGTCTCATGTACCATTTCCAAAGAGTCCATATGTTTCATTTGCCAAAAGAAGGGGGCATTGGTTGCGAAGCTGCCAGATTTACCTGAAAGATATGGTAATGTCAAAAGTTTGACTCTACTTCAGGTAAAGCCCGTTATCTAACTCTATTAAGTATCTCTTGGAGATTCCTAATACATAATGCAATCTAATTACATTTTGATGTTTTAGAGAATCAAAGGAAGCTTAAAGAAAGAGTATGCTGATTCTGATCGCGAAGTTGGTTCGGTGATTAGAATTTTGAGCAACTGCTTAAGAGTTACGATAGATTGCTTAGGAATAGATATCAACATAGTTTTCATATGTATTTGCATTGTAAGGATAAGATTTTTCCGCAAGTTTTAAAATAAAAAAAGCAGTTTTGATTTATTTATTTTAAGTATCCTTACAATGGCATTTGTGAAAAATTGTTGTTTACATGATTACATTGATAGCAATATTGGAAAATGGATTTGATTCTTTCATTTGTGGTAGTGTCATAATTTACCAAATAAGGAAAGATTCTCATCACCCAAGTTTCAGTTGGATAGAAACTTGGAATCATGCAAGTTGTATTGTGTGATGAATGAGAATTGTCATCTTTGGGAAATTAAGACTAAGTCATTGTTCACATGTATATGTGACTCAAGTGAAGGACTAAGGGATCAAGTACACATTCTTCTGCACTAGTCAAATTCCACCACAAAATATCAATAAGACTGTTCGTTACGATTTACTAAAGTTTAGTAAATATGGTTATGCTTACAAGTTTAAGTGTAATTCTGAAATATTGGAAAAGTTTCAATTATTGACAGAGCGAATAAGAAGAATCAAATTAGACAGAAGGATAAAAGTTTCTCAAATCTGAAAAGATGGGAGAGTACTTTAAGTATATTTTTTTTATGATTATCTTAATGATTATAAAACCATATCACAATTGATCCTCTAAAGACATCTTAGTGCATTTGTTTGGCTATGGAGAGGAATCATGAATTGTTGAAATGGTTAAATCAAAAGATAAATCATACTTCGTTCCAAAAAAAAAAGTCTTAGAGTCATACTCTAAGATTGTAACTTTAGTGACATGATTTTAAGAAAGGTTTATAACACTTTTCAAATGTAGAGTAACATGTTTCTTACTCGTGTACATTTGGAATTGGTAAGTTGTGTTGTTTTGGATAAAACAAAGACCAACTAATGCCAATTATGTGAAGTGTTTGTCTTGATTAGAATCCACACTATCTCTAAAATATTTGGCAAGATAGTCTTATATGTCAAGAGGATAGTGGGAGTCTAAAAGATCCTGAAATAGTTTCAAGAACTAATCAAGAATAAAACATGTATTTCATCACTAGCACATGACTAGAGGTATATAACCTATCGTGTTGACATATTCTTATTTCTGTGCCCATTCTAGTTCAAGTTGGCTATGCATTTGAGTTCTACATGTTCTCAGTTGTTTGCATAACTACTTGGAAGCAATGGTAGGTCTTGTGCTACCAAGTGGCAAGAAGTTAAGATTGCACAAGTTCAGTCCATATGAGTTAGGATTTGTCACTAACCTAGTCTTGTGATTATGGTTTTGACAAATTCACATGGATAGGAACAGATACACCATAAAAATCTAACTGTCATAAGGTTTCTCTCTGATTCATGAAAATGATGGTGAGGAAACATTTTCACTAAGTAGATTTTAAGTAGGTAGCAATTGTGATCTTTGCATTCTCAAAGTTGTTAGTGGAGCGTGCGTGGTTAACCGGCACACTAACATGGACTTATGAGAAATGAAAAAGGTCTAAACAATTGAGACTATGATTACGACATCCCTTTTCATAGTTCTGAAATTATTTAGACACACCTGTGATCTATCTAAGATAAGGTGTATGATTTTGATAAAGTCTTGTCAAAGCAATCTCGTATCATAAATCTGAACTTTGGTAAGGAAGTCAATAAAGTATTGATTTCTAGAAGTCCAGTTGATTTCAGGGTACATGTCAAAGCTAGTGGGAGCATAAGTGTTATGCTAGTAAGATAATAATCATTGTGCTAGTGGGAGCATGATTATTATGCTAAGTGTTGCAAGTTAGCAATGTTAATTATAGAAAACAAAAATTTCGATTCGTTTTGAAAAGTTGTTTTGCTATAATTAAGGGAGAGGATATACTTCATTTCAATTCTAAAAGCTTATATTGAGATTTTAATCAACTTTAGTCAAGGATATATATATGAATGTTATGTTGGAATGGTTCAACATAAGGAAATTCTATATATGTTGCGTCCTCAAAATTCGATTATGATTACGGCATACCTCTTCATAGTTCGAATTGTGAGAACATGGCAAATAAAATTTTTGTAGCATGACTCGTGTCCCATATGACTAAAATGATTAAGCAATTGTCGAGGACAATCTGAGTTCTACCAAAGATTGGTTGCTCATTGTCACACCCCGCTAAAGCGGAAACACGAGGCGTGGCAGTATGAAGGGTTTCATAGCAAAAGTTAAAAGACAACACCAACCATAGTTTAAAAATCATTACATAGATGTTATTGGATTGGTAGTTGCGATTGGTGACATTTGGCGAGATAATGCAGATATGAAAAAACACAGACTCAACATCCAAATTCAAGATGCAAAGTTTGTTTTTATATATTTTAATTTTTATCGCTTATAATACAAAATTATATTATATTGCTTTAATATTTTATTTTTCAGTGGTTTGCAAGCTCGTGTCACTTTGTGGGGTCATTATGCTTACATAATGCAAAACTTTATCAATAACAATCCACACAATCTTCGTATCATTATTATCCTTCAATTTGCAATGCTTACAATTTGGAGAGGTGAATTTTATTTCTTATTATTTTTATATTAATAATAAGTAAAATAACGCTTATATTTTTATTTTTTTAGATCGTCCCAGAATTAACACATATAGAAATGTGACAAAGCTTTTCATTAACACTGACATTGATGAAATCAATGTTTTCATCAAAAGGTAATATATGTTTTATCAATTTATTTATACTATTATCCTTTATGTCACTTATATTGATTTTTTTCTTATAATATCAGTTTAGATGGAGATGATCCCCCAGATTCATCTTCGAATACACATACACTTAGTATATCCGATCAAGTTTATCAACATGACGATTTCATACTTAACTTTCAGTCCAAGAGTATTGTTGATGTTCAGGAACACGGAAGAACAAACTGTGAGGTCAAATTGGAAAACATTGGCTGAGTGTTAATTTTAATATAAACTTTCAGAAAATTTGTTCCTTTAGACTTATAAATATCTATTTTATTTTAGTACTTTTAGATTCTATTTAGAATGTTGAAACATTTGATAGAATATTATTTTTTCTTTGTCTGGTTTGTTACATAATTTTATGTTTATACATTATTTTTTTGGCATATTCTCTTTATTGTAGATAGAATTATTTTAATTTTAATATTAAATAACAATTATGCACTTTGATATAGAATTATACCAAATGAATAGATATATAAAAGACAACCTACTTTTGAATGTTTGTGTGTTACAAGCAGAAAAATTCTACACTACATAAAGTATGGCTAAATGAAATTTTCGTCCTTTAATCTTTTAATTATTTTTCTATATTTCCACATGAGTTTATTCTTATAACTTAACTTATTACACCAAAATAATATGTATTTATGTTTCTATTTCTCATCATTAACTATAATAATTTATTGTAAAACATCATTGTTTTTTGTTATAAAAATATACCAGAACATCATAAATACAATACTAACTATTTTTGAATTCAATTTCTAATGTATTACTTCCCAGATTAGCATCTTTGCAAACCAAAGTTTCTTGCCTAACCTAACACCAATCACATAAATACCCCAGGATTATCAAAACTACTAATTTCCAATTTTTTAAAGGATGAAATGACTTAAAAATTAACAAATTGATCAGGAAGTTCGGCCAATACAAGAGCATGAGAAAATAACAAATATTGTATAAGATGGAAACTATCAACTTAATTAAATCCAATAATATAAAAGCATAAAGTATCAATAAACATGATCAGGTAAACTACACCAGGGGAAAAACTCATGAAGGGACTACAAGTAAGGGTAAAAACGTCCAAACATTTATCTTACATCTCTATAAACTTTGTCCATTTTTATTTGGAATGTATATAACAAAAAAATTAACTTATTTACTTATAGTAATCAGATTAATAATTTGCACAAATTAAACCCTAATTTATAGCATATTTGAATTTTAAATTTCAAAGTATTATGCACACATATTGAATTTCAGAATTTCATTCAAATTCAAACTTACTTTGATTGTGTCACCGGTGTTGAGTGTCAACCTATTCGTCACTGCCACTCCATTTCTCGCTCAGAGCTTCAAACACATCTTTGCTGCAAAAAAATCCCAGGTAAAATTATCTTTTCAAGTAATGTGTTTTCTATTAAAGAATCTAACAATCAACAACGATCTATATAACTTCTTGCCTTTTATTTTATCCTCTTCAACCCATATTGTTTCGTACCTTCATTCGCCGACTTCTAAATTGCAGTATAACTTTCATTTCACTTCAAGATGGGTCTGTACCTGTATTATAGTATCTGCCTACATCTTTAGCAATTGACAGGTTTCCATAGCATTTCTGAGATCGATCGTTTTAAGATGCTTTGGAAATATAGATTTGGTTATACTGGAAAAGGGAGTCGTATTCGTTTCTATTACAAGAAAAGGAGGAAAATGGGGTTACTCAACACTGAGAAGTCTTTCTTTAGTATATTGAATATTGAATTGAATAATATAAATATAAATTAATTTTATTTTAAAATAAAAACAATATATATACATATACGAAGACATCAAATGATGTTTTTTTTTTCTAATTTTATCTATTAATCGTATGTATCACCACTCACTCTTTGGTTAAATATAAATTAATAAATAACATTAATCTTTATATTTATATGTCATTTTTTATTAAATTGTGTTTTAAGATGACATTACATTTTACATTTAAATTGTAATTTAAATAAACATAAACTTTTTAAATTGCCATTTTATAGAATATGTTCAACAATTTAATAAGTAAAGTTTAATTATATATCATTATACAATATTATTATTTACATATTTCATTATCATAACAAATTTTATTAGTATCTAATTTTCAAATTCAAGTTTATACAAATTAAATTACCTACAAATTGTATGTAACAATTATTAACATATGCTTAATTTTATTTTTAACTATATTTTTTTTTATTTTTTTATTTATCGATCAAGAACATGGATGAAAATGACGCTACAGAGAGAAGAAAAAAGAGAAAGTTATATTTGGATAACAGAAAATCCAAAAAACACAATACTACATCATCGTGTCATCATACATATGCAGCACATACGATTCATTTTAGCCAATACGGTACTTTTCTTACTTTATTTTGCATTGATGATGATGATATGTTTGTTTCTTATATATTTTAAATATAAGATATAAGATTCATAATTTTTTATAAGTGAAATAAATACATTACGTTATATTTAAATTTATATCAAATAAAAATGTGTTTAAGTTATTTTATGCTATTTTACAGGTTCAAATAACAGTATCGAATCTACAAGCGCTAAAGAGAGGAGAAAAATTAGAAAGTTATATTTGGATAATAGAAAATCCAAAAGATTACATACCACATCAACCCATCAAAATTCATCTGTTACACATGTTTCTTACACGTCGAATAACGGTATATATATTTGTTTATTTTACAACTCTTTTGTAAATATAATATAAATATAAACTTTGCATACTCTTTAATTTATTTTATTTTTAATAATTAATATTTTTTATTCTTACTAACCATTTGTTTATTATATAACAGATATCTACAATCGTTGTCGTATTCAACCTCCTTCAACAAATAAATATGTTACAACACATTCATCAACAATTTCAAATGGTATGCATTTCTATATACCAAAATTTTATAATATATGCTTCAAATTTATATAACCGATAACAATTCCTAAAGTTCTAATCTTTATTTTCATTTTATCAGACAATTATATTTTCAACAATAACGTTCAAACACCGCTATCTATTTACAAAGATAATTCAGTGTTTCGCATTGGCAAGACATCCACCAATCCCTCGACAATAATTCATACTTCTCATTCATCAAATATAAATGTTAGAACTCCCTTTTCTAACATTTCAAATGGTAAGCATTTCTAAATACACAAATTTATAAATATATGATTCACATCTATATTAATTATAACAACTATTGACTTTGTACTTTCTATTTTTATTTTTACAGGCAATTATATTTTCAATAATAACTTTCGAACACCACTATCTATTAACAAAGATAATTTGGTGTTTGGTAATGCCACGACATCCAGCAATCGTTCGACAATAATCCAAAATTCTTCATCAATCAAGTTACCAAGAGGAGAACATCATCTAAAAAGGAAGACTTCACATATATCCTCTATACCTGTTTTTGACTTGACATTAGATGAAGAAATTAATGATGATCATACTGTTCAAGATATTTTCCATGGTATATCAAAAGGTGATCATAATTCTAAATTATTTAATATTCAAAAAAAATTTAATTATTTTTTTAATTATATATAATATTTTTTTTTTGCATTGAATAGAATACTTAGATCATGGAGACAAAATTGTTACATGTAAGTTTTGTCATGCAAAATTATGGATACATGAATCGCTTAGAGGGCAAAAAAAAGGCAATACATCTTATTCACTATGTTGTGGTTACGGCAAAGTTGAGCTACCACCCTTAAAAGAAGCACCGTCATCTTACCAAAATCTTTACAAATCGGTAGATTCAAAAAGCAAACACTTTATGAAGAACATTCGACGTTACAATTCAATGTTTTCATTTACATCGATGGGTGGAAAAGTTGATTCATCCATCAACAAAGGCAACGCACCATACATATTCAAACTTAGCGGTCAAAACTATCATAGTATGGGAAGTCTTTTACCTACACCTGGATCAAGACCAAAATTTTGTCAGTAATACATATATGATACCGAAAATGAAATTTCAAACAGATCAACAAGTATTGGGTATATTTTTACAATTTCCTATTCTTTAATAAAGTAATTTATTTCTTTTAATTTTTTATTAGCATTAAATAACTTTTATAATATTTTCAGTGGACCGACAAGCGCTTCTACATCAACTTCAATATCATCTGATCTCCAGATTATCGAATTTTTGAAGGTTATGTTAGATTCAAACAATGTGTTGGTCAAGTATTATAGGATGGTAAGAGACAGTCTTCACGAAAATCCTGGTGCTAATTTGAAGTTAAGATTAATCGGAAAAAGAGAACAAGATGGAAGGACATATAACTTACCAACTTCTTCGGAGGTAGCCGCTTTAATTGTTGGTGACATTTCTGATTCAGTTGAAAAAAGAGACATTGTTGTTCAAACCTCATCAGGATTACTTCAGCGTATCAGTGAATTACATCCTTCTTACCTTGCTCTTAAGTATCCATTACTATTTCCATAGGGTGATGATGGTTACAGAGTTGACATCCTTCATAGAGGTATTACATCTTCAAGTAATAGCAAGCGCCTGACGTGTACAATGAGAGAATTTTTTGCTTACAGAATTCAAGATAGAGATCAATCGTTCTCACTACTTCTCAATGCAAAAAGGTTGTTCCAACAATTTTTGGTTGATGGTTATACAATGATTGAAAGTGAGAGATTATTTTTCATACGTAAGCAACAAAAAATTCTTAGATGTGAGTCTTATGAGAAATTGCGTAATCACCAAGCACTCGGGAGTACAGATATATCGAACGTCGGGCAACGTGTGATCTTACCTTCTTCATTTACCGGTGGTGCATGCTATATGATGCAAAACTATTTGGATGTCATGTCGCTTTGTAAATGGTTTGGATATCCTGATTTCTTCATAACCTTTACGTGTAATCCAAAATGGCCAGAAGTTCAAATGTTTCTTAAGGACACTCCACTTCATCCAGAAGATAGACCGGATATATTATGTAGGTTATTTAAGATCAATTTGGATGCATTTATTAAAGATTTAAGGGAAAATAAAATTTTCGGCACGGTTCAAGCAGGTATTTAAATTTATAGTTTAATATATAAATATAAAATATTATCATTTATATTTTTCCTATAGTTATCTAAATTATGTTTTTTATTTGGTATGTATGTATACATACATACACCAACAATTTGTTTAATTGCTAACTTCTATCCTATTTGTATAATTTTATGTGAAGTGGTTTATACAATTGAATTTCAAAAAAGAGGTTTGCCCCATAGTCATATATGTCTTTTTTTGCATGCTGATTGCAAGCTTCCTACAGTTGAATATATCGACCCGTATATTTCTGCCGAGATTCCAAATATCAATGAAGATCCAGAATTGTATTCACTTGTGAGAGAGTTCATGATCCATGGTCCATGTGGAGCTGAAAATTTCAATTGCCCATGCATGGTGGACAGAAAATGTTCTAAAAACTTTCCAAAGCAATTCTGTAATCATACTTCAGTTGATTCAAACGGTTTTCCCTTATATAGGAGAAGAAATGATGGAAATGTTGTTGAACAATCGGGGATCCAGTTAGACAACAGAAATGTTGTTCTATACAATAAATATCTTTTGAAAAGATATCAGGCACACATTAATGTTGAATGGTGCAATCAAGGATCTTCGATAAAGTATTTATTTAAATATATAAACAAGGGTCCTGATAGGGCTACTTTTGCTATGGTGCAAAACAATAATGATTCTGATAACAACGATGCTGTGGATGAAATCAAAGAATATTATGATTGTAGATATATATCTGCATGTGAAGCATCATGGAGGATTTTTAAATATGATGTTCATTATAGGTATCCTGCTGTAATCAGACTACCGTTTCATCTTCCTGGACAACAACAAGTTATATATGAGGCAGACGATGATATTGAAGATGTTCTTGACCGGCCTTCAGTTGCTTCTTCAATGTTTACATCTTGGATGAAGTGTAATGAAATCAATGTAGAAGCACGGAAACTTACTTATGTTGAATTTCCTACAAAGTTTGTTTGGAAACCTAAACTTCTAATTTGGAAGCCAAGGGAAGTTGGATATTCAATTGGTAGAATTCACTCGGTTTCACCTAAACTTGGCGAAGCGTATTTCTTAAGAATTCTTTTAAATAAAGTGAAAGGTCCAAAATCATTTGAAGAAATTCGCACAGTCAATGGTGAAATATGTTCTTCTTTTAAAGACGCATGCTATAATCTAGGCCTTTTGGATGATGACAAAGAATACATCGATGCAATTAAGGAAGCAAGTCTTTCTGGATCTGGTTATTATCTACGGTTTTTATTTGCTACGATGTTATTGTCCAACAATTTGTCTAAACCAGAGAGTGTGTGGGAAAACACATGGGAATATCTGTCAGATGGAATTCTTTATACTCAACAACAGAGATTAAAGTCTCCAGGTATTATATGTTTATTACATTATTATTAAATCTATATCATATAAAATTCAAATATATGTTCAATTAGATTTGACTTTCATTTATTTTATTTTTTAATTGGTTGTAACTAATATAACATTATTCATACAACTTTATCACTAAACGAAGATCAAATTAAAAACTTGACTTTGTTTGAGATAGAACAAATTTTACTCCGAAACAACACCAGTCTCAAGAACTATAGAAGGATGCCTTACCCTGATGATGATTCAGTTTCATCTTCAAACAATCGCCTGATAACTGAGGAGCTCGATTATGACATACCAAATTTAAAGAATGAGTTTGATCGTCTTTTTGTTTCATTAACAGACGAGCAACGCAACACTTTCCTTGATATCATGACTACGGTTAAAGATAATAAGGGAGGTGTATTCTTTATTTATGGTTATGGTGGAACGGGTAAGACATTTCTTTGGAAGACAATTTCTGCAGCCATTAGATCTGAAGGTGAGATTGTTTTAAATGTAGCTTCAAGCGGGATCGCTTCATTATTATTGACTGGAGGCAGGACAGCACACTCTCGGTTTATAATACCCATTAATCTTAACGAGGATTCTTACTGTAGAATAAATCCAGATAGTGATCTTGCCAATTTAGTAAGAAAAACCTCATTGATCATTTGGGATGAAGCACCTATGGTACACAAGCATGCATTTGAAGCTTTAGATCGAACTTTGAAGGATAGATTACGGCGTTTCAATCCTACAAACTCGAATACTCCATTTGGAGGGAAAGTGGTTGTTTTTGGAGGTGATTTCAGACAAATTCTGCCTGTTGTTCCGGGTGGCAGTAGACAAAACATTGTTAATGCTTCTTTAAGTTCTTCGTATTTATGGCAACAATGCAAAGTCCATAAATTAACAAAAAACATGAGGCTAACTGTTGGAAGCGATCCATCTGCTGTTGAGAAAATAAGGGGTTTTTCAAACTGGCTTTTGGACATAGGAGAAGGTAATCTTGGTGGTCCGAATGATGGTGAAGCAATTGTTGATATTCCACAAGATATTCTTATTAATGATCCATGTGATTCTATAGGTTCATTAATCAAGTTTGTATATCCTTCAATTGTGGAAAACTTCAACATTGCAGGTTATTTTCAGGAAAGAGCAATACTTGCTCCCAAAAATGAAGTTGTCCAAGAAATAAATGACCGTTTGCTAAAATTGATTCCAGGAGATGAAAAAGAATATTTAAGTTCAGATAGTCTCTGCCAATCCGAGTTTGTTCATAATCAGTTTGATTGCAATTTATATTCACCTGATGTTTTAAATGGTCTTAAACTATCAGGTATGCCAAACCATAAGCTCATTTTAAAAGTCGGTGTTGCAGTTATGCTATTGAGAAACATTGATCAGAAAAATGGTTTATGCAATGGCACTAGACTACAAGTCAAATCTTTGGGCAAACGTGTTATTGAGGCAGTCATCATATCTGGAAGTAATATTGGAAACATTACTTTTATTCTAAGAATGTCTTTAACTCCTACTGAAGACAAGATCCCGTTTAAATTCCAAAGAAGACAATTTCAATTGGCTATATGTTTTGCAATGACAATTAATAAAAGCCAAGGACAGTCTTTGTCGAAGGTTGGTCTGTTCTCAAAGAACCCGTTTTTACACATGGCCAATTGTACGTTGCTTTATCCAGAGTTCAAAGTAGAGAGGGATTAAAATTGTTAATTCTAGATAAGAATGGTAGACTAACAAATAAAACATCAAATGTTGTGTATAAAGAAGTTTTTAGATTTTTATAAATACTTTGTACAATTTTATTTTATATATCAAATTTTGTGTCTATTTTATTTAATTTTTTATTCAATTACACAAAATTGATAATTTTCTAACATATCTACAAACACAAACTGTCGATTGGATATTCAAAACACTATACTTTCGTAATTTTAAAGAATCATTATATCATTATCAAATTACTTATGAAAAATATAATTTATTACGTATTAAAAATTATTTATAATTCCTTAATTAATATATATTATTTTAATTATATTTAATTTTTATTTTCTCTTCCGTGGTATCCACGGGTTATAAACTAGTTATGCTAACTAAACATTTAAATAATGTTTTACCGTACCGAGTTTTGAAAATGTCCACGTTGAAAAAATCACCTTTCAAAAGTAAACATTTTGAGTATATAAAATTTTAAAAACCGCTTATTAATTTCATTTAATATTATCTTATAAATCAATATCTATCAAAAACATAAACACATAAGAAATTCAAAATAAGACTAAAAATACTATAACATCGAAAATTTAAAATTATACATATAAATTGAACCACTTAACTATTAAAAAATTGTTAGTTAAAAAGAATGGTGGAAATTAAAAATTTTGAAACACCACTAAACATTGAACTAATTATTAAAGAATAAAAAACTAATATAATTTATAAAGAAATGGACATCTATTTTATCACTTCTTCTATTCCGATGATAACAAAATTAAAAATGAAATGTCTACGGTATTCATCACTCACTCTATATTATATCTTTCTTTTCAACAAACTTATTATCTTAGATGTGTACGCATTTATTACTTGCAGATGTCTACAGTTTTATATGTAAGTGAAAATTCTATATGTACCATTTGAGGGGAAGAGCGCTTGCGTATCCTTTAATTTAACGATTTATATGAGTGAGGGTATATATAAAATTTTCACTTACATATTTTGAGGTCGAGTTAAATACATAAATACAATATATATATGTAAGACTAAAAAACAAAATAAACATAAAATATCAATATATTTTTATTTTTAAATCATAACACCGTTATATTATAAATATGTTTTAATAGAAATTCATATTTGCAGATGCATTATATACCTTGCGGAAACTATATAACATGTTTCCGGAAAAAAATATTAGCCGATCGGAAACTATTTGCTAGCTAAAAAAAGGAATTAAACATAAATTTTTAAGACTTCAGTCTTAAAACAAAGATATAGATATCTTGATTGTTAAATTTACATTTTGACTTTCAAGGTTTGGTATAAATTTGTAAGCGTAGTGTCGAAGATTTCCAAAATTTACAGTACATGTGTAATAAGTTCTGGTTTCATTATCCTGAAAATTTGTAAGCGTAGTGTCAAAGATTTCCAAAATTTGTAAGCGTAGTGTCGAAGATATCCAAAATTTACATTTTGACTTTCAAGGTTTGGTATAAATTTGTAAGCGTAGTGTCGAAGATTTCCAAAATTTACAGTACATGTGTAATAAGTTCTGGTTTCATTATCCTAAAAATCGTTAATTTCGGGTTTTAGTCTCATTAGATTCAGCCAATTAATTTAAAAGGCTCTCTTTTAAAAGCCCTTACATATCATGAAAATCGTCGGAATAAAACAAATAAAAATAAACAATTTGACGACCGCCGAAATGACACTAAATTTTGTCTGGAAACTAATCGTCAGAATGAAACAAATCGCCGCCACTACATGGCGCGAGTACGCTACTAGTATATATATACATATATGGTTAGGTTCATGTGAGACTATTGCCTATTCTATTTTTACGAACAATAGAATATTAGAATATTTCAACAAAAAAAATTTGGTCTCACAAAATTATGTTTGTCTCAAATGCTCTATATCTATATATATATATATATATAATATATATATATATATATATATATATATATATATATATATATATATATATATGTTCAAATAAAAACAGTAAATAATGTGAAAACGTAAAAATACTATGTTTATGTTCTTCAATGGCTGTTGTATATGTGTATTGTTGAAGTAATTCTAATAAGAAAATTAACGTTTGATTATTCATATATTTATTAGAATGTTATTATTCTATTATATATTTATGCATGTGTATTTTTCTAGTAAATTTTAATTTTAGATTAACCTATGACTATTCATTTATTCATTGCTGAATAATAATATACAGTTGTGGATACAAAATTCATTGCAGAATAATAACATAAAAATAGTGTTTTTATGTTTTCACACTATGTACTGTTTTTATTTTAACTATCCCATATATATATATATATATATATATATATATATATATATATATATATATATATATATATATATATATATATATATATATATATATATATATATATATATAAAGCACAATGTTAACCCTAGCTAAAAAATGGAATTGGCCTCCATTCTATCAGTTGATAGTCAACCAAGCTCGCTACAGATCAAGTACAAATTAGCTAGAGATCAGCAAGCTAGGGATCTTCAATTCTCAAGTCATATTTAACTATCTCCACCTTGACTTGAGTAATACTGCAAGATACGTAAACGAAGAACTTCCCCTATGATCTCTAGTCAATTCGCTCCGTAGGGACTTAAATCTTACGAACTTCAACTAAGTCCAAGAAAAGGTTGAACTTCTATGTGGGCAACGACTTTGTTAACATATCAGCTAAATTCTCATTAGTATCTATCTTTCAAATAGAACACTTATCTTATTACAAATCATCACTGATGAAATTTAGCCTCACATCATGGATGCTTTGGAATAAGACAAGTGTTCTATTTCACAATGTAACATGGTGATTTTTCACCCAACTTTTTTTTTACCTAAATTTTTTTTTCAACAAAATTTGGGTGGACACTTGTCTAAATTTGGGTGAACATTTTTTTAAGACAATGTATTTTCACCCAAATACGATGTTACATTGGGTAATGTTCTATACCAACTTGTAACATCCTGAGTTTTCACCCATTTTTTTTGTTTTGAAAACATTTATTAACAGAATATGTTAGCGGGAGTCTTATTTTGAATTTTATAAAAAATAACCAATATTACTTTTACATTAACCAAATCAAAACAATTTCTCAAAAACAAGTGTTAAGAAAACTCAACGACGTGTCCAAATGGTATCAATACTACAACATAAACTAGAATGTAACTACCCAAAAGCCCTATCCTCACCAAGCCGATAGACTATGCTACATGTACCAATGCAAGGTAACAACAAGCAAATAAATAAGTGTCAACAAATGCTAAGTGAGTCAACAATAAGTACAATGTTAGGAAAACACACATAACATATTGTAACGCTTGTTTCAGGTATCATATATTTCTCAAAATTTTAGGGTTTTGCACTGGGACTTGACGAGTTGGGGAGCTCCAACTCGGCGAGTAGAGATCTTTTTGGACGCGGGACTTAGGGTCTACTCGACGAGTTGGAAGGCCCCAACTCGACAAGTAGACGATGGAAAGGAAAACCCTAATTTTCAGGATTTGTACCCTATATAAAGAACTTATGGCTCATTTGTAGCCTCCCTCATTGTCCTTACAGCCCAGAGAAACCCTAGTTCGAGCCTTATACCTTCTTGAGTGTGTGTGAGAGTTTTGGTGAGTGATTTTGGTGTGGTTGTGAAGGAACTTGGAGCTTGAAGAGATTGGAGTAAAGGGAGAAGCAGTAGATCCGCCATCTACTCTGTTTTGGCAACCATCTTGAGGTATAAAGTTGCTACTTTGATCTTTATTTGCTTAGATCTCATCTTATGAAAGTATTTGGTCACTTTTGGTGCATAATGGTGTCATTCTCGGATTTAAACTTGTCATGAGGATATGGTTTCAGATCTGGACATCTCTAGGCCTCCATGGACATAAAGTTGTCCACTTTATCTAGTCTTGGCCCTCCTCCATGCCCTAAACCTTTTATCAAACTTAGTTTTAGTGTTTTAGCTTCTTGAGGCCTTGCATGCACGTAAAGTTAGCAACTTTACGTGATATTTCATTCCTAAGGGACTGGATCTATAGTTTGGGGCTTTAGATTCGACTGGAAGGGCTGGATATGTTAAGACAAGGGAAGAATCGACGAGTTGCCCTGGCAACTCGACGAGTTGGATTGGGTTTTCCCGTTTTCTATATACAGAGTGACCTCGGCGCGTTTATACGATAACTCGGCGAGTTGGCTAGGGTTTTTCCCAGGTTTTTTAAACACTGAAGGAACTCGACGAGTGGCTAGATGCACTCGCGAGTTGGGTCAACATGGACTGTTGACCTTGACTGTTGACCTTGACTTTGACCATGGT